GATCATTTGTCAACATCCAACTTGTCTTTCAAAATGACTAGGTTCGCTGGGCGCCAGTGGCTGGTGCCTGTCATCCTAGCTACTCAGGAGGCTGAGATCTGAGGATCGTGGTTCAAAGCCCACCCAGGCAGGAAAGTCCGTGAGCCTTATCACCAATAAACCACTGGAAAACCAGAAGTGGTGCTGTGGCTCAAGTGGCAGGCCCAGAGTTCTTACTACACATTAATACAAACAACAACAAAAAGCACAAAAATAGGGTCAAGCGCTGGTGGCTCACACCTGTCATCCTAGCTACTCAGGAGCCTGAGATCTGAGGATCTCAGTTCAAAGCCAGCCCAGGCAAGAAAGTCCATGAGATTCATCTCTAATCAACCACCAAAAAGTCCGAAGTGGTGCTCAGGAAAATTGGTCAGGGACAGCATGCAGGCCCTGAGTTCAAACCCCACGACTAACAAAAAACAAAAGAAAAGGCTTTAGTCAGATGTGGTGGTACACAACTGTATTCCCAGCTCTTGGGAAGTGGGAGCAGGAAGTTTGTGAGTTTGAGGCTGGCCTGAGTCATAGAGTGAAACCCCATTCCAAAACATCAAATAGGCTGGGAAGGTGGCTCAGTGGTAGAGAGAGTGCTTGCCTTGCATGCATGAGGCCCTGGGTTTGATTCCTCAGCACCACATAAACAGAAAAAGCTAGAAGTGGCGCTGTGGCTCAAGTGGTAGAGCACTAGCCTTGAGCTGAAGAGCTGAGGGACAGCGCCTAGGATCAGAGTTCAAGCCCCACTACCAACGCCCGCCCCCCCACCCCCCACAAAAACAAAAGCACCAAATAGGGTTGGGTGCCAGTGGCTCAGTCCTGTAATCCTAGCTACTCAAGAGGCTGAGACTTAAGAATTGCAGTTCAAAGCCAGGTCAGACAGAAAAGTCTATGAGAATCTTATCTCCAATTAACCACCAAAAAGCCAGAAGTGGGGCTGCAGTTCAAGTGGTAGAGCACCAACCTTAAGTGAAAACTCAGGGACAGTGCCTAGCCCCTAAGTTCAAGACTCAGGACTGGCATCAAAACAACCCACCAAATAGCATCTCCAACCCCTCCTGGCATCTCCAGGAGCTGGCAGGACAGCAAGAAAGACATGTCCTCCCCCCCTCCCACACACAGCTCAGTACACACAAGGGGTGCGGGCAATGACCGAAGCTCCTATCACTGGCAGGCTAACAACTAACTCTGATACTTGCGTCTCCTTACAGAGAACCCAGCCATTTTGAGTATCACCAGGAAAGGTCTGGACATGAGCGACCGTTACGATGGTGCTGTTCCTGCCTCGGACTGGGTGGAGGCCGGAGACCCTGCTCAGCACACGGCAGGACCACGATGCCCACAGGGCCTGCTGCCGTGCCCCGTGGCCAGCGGAGGCCCTGAAGTGAAGGCAGTGAGGTCACACTCCGCAGCCCAATAGAGCTGGCACTTCCTGGGAGCCTGGAGAGATCTGAACTCTAGACCACTGCCTGGAGCCAAGGAAGCTGCTTGGGCTGCTATGTTCACAGCACTGAGGTGACAGGTCATGTGTCTAAAGGCCACCTGGTCTGACTGGGCGACAGGGACCCTTTCTTCCCCCTTGGCGATCTAGCCTCCTGGCACGTGATCCTCGTGTGCTCTGAGTCTTCAGAGCCCAGCCTCTGGCTTGCAGCAACCACCCCAGGAGGACAGGACTGCCTGCAGCCTGGCTCAGAGGGACCAGAATGGCTGAGAAGTATGAACAGGAAAGCCGTGGTGAGGGCCCCCGAGGAAGGCAGGGCAGAGGGAGGGGAGGCCACCCATCCCCCCCCCCCCCCCCCCCCCCCCCGCTTCTCTGGGCCCCAAGAGGCTCAGTCTGCAGGGAGCTGGGAGCAGGAGCTGCCTTGTGCCATCCCTACCCACCCACGCTAATAACTTGTGCACAAACATGGCACAACACGAGCCAGACACGCCGTCATTATCTCCCCTCACCCGCCCCACTGGCCCCGCCCCCCACGGTAATTCCCACCAGGCGCACACTGAGGGGGACCCACTGCACCCCGGGGGCTCCCTCAGTCACAGAAGCCTAGACAGGGTTCAGGGCTCCCGGGTGGGGGCGGGGGTGGTGGTGGCAGTTACCTCAACTGAGAGTCACAGTCAATAAAGGACCTCCGCAAAGGAGCCCCCTCATTTTCCGGGTTTTGAAACTGCACAGATGCAGCTGCCTTCCATGGCCGATTGCAGCGTGACCCCAGTTTTTTGTTTGTTTGTTGCTGGTCCTAGGGCTTGAACTCAGCTTGCGCTCTGTCTCTGAGCCTTTTTTTTTTTTTTTTTTGCTGGTCGTGGGGCCTCAACTCTGGGCCTGGGCGCTGTCCCTCAGCTCTACTTCCGGCTTTTTCTGCTTGTTGTGCTAAGGAATTGAACCCAGGTCCTCATGCAATGCAAGGCAGGCACTCTACCACTGAGCCACCTTCCCAGCCCCTCTGGCTTTTTTCTAAGTAGTTTATATTAGAATTAAGAGTCTCAGGGACTTTCCTGCCCAGCTGGCCTCGAACTTTGATCCTCATATCTCAGCCTCCCGAGTAGTTAGGGTAACAGATGTGAGCCACCAGCACCCAGCTTGTGATTTCAGTGTTATCCAAGTTAGTCACTGGGACCAGGTACATGCCATTAGAGAGGGTGCTAAGACCTCGAGGAGACCCTGGCCTAAGGATCTCCCAGCTTGCAACCCCAGCTACTTAGGAGGAGGAGGGCAGGAGGATCATAATTGGAGGCTAGGCTGGGCAAAAAGTTTGAAAGACACCGCCCCCCCATCTCAAACAGTAAAAGCTGGGTTCACTGATCCACAGCTGTCATCCCAGGTATGCAGGCCTAGGTAAGAAGATTGTGGCCCAGGCTGACATAGACAAACGTTTGGCCCTAAATGAAAAATAAGCCCAAGGGGCTGGTAGCATGGATCAGCTGGCACAGCATCTGGCTAAGAAGTTCAAGGAGGCTCTGAATTGAAAGCCCGGATGTGGACCTGTCAGGGATCAGGCTTTGCTCTTCCTGTCTCCATTTCACTTGTCACCCCCAGCACAGCAACGTGTGCATCCCTTTATCAGAGTGGAGGAGCTGAGAGACCCATCACCACCTCCCCGAGGCCCCCAGAGGCACAGAGCCCAGGGCTGACCACAGCCCACAGGAGGGGTCAGCCCAGGGACAGGACCTTGCTGGTCAGGGGCAGAGGGTGGCAGGTGAGCAGGCAGGTCGCATGGTCATGGCCTGAGCAGCCTTGCTAGGCTTTAGGGCAGAGAGACCTGAAGCAAAGCGGCGGCAGGTGGGCTGTGGGCTGCGGAACCTTTACGCAGCTGTGCCGGGGCCCTGAGGAGGCAGCGGGCCCAAGGGTGCACAGGTGGCCAGTGTGACGGGGCTTGGGGTACCTCTGCAGCAAGCTCTTGCAGACAGGTCTACAAGCTTTCTGGTGTCCCCGGGACCATGCCAAAGGGCTGGCAGATGGCCAGTTACATTGTACTTTTGGCATTTCAGCAGTAGAGGGAGATGCCTTCCCACACCTACCAGCCCAGTCCTCCCTGGATGCCTCCTCTGTGCGGGCAGCAGCTCTCCAGGGCGGATGACCCTGAACCAGGATGGGAGGAGGCTCACGGGAGACCCTCCCATAGGAACAGGTGGGGGCCCTCCTGGGGGAGGGGCGGTAACACACCCCCAGTGCCCAGAGGTGGGGTTGAAATCTCCTTTATTTACAAGTGTTCAGGCACTCGCCCTGGCTTCCGGAAGTTCTTCCGGGGGGGACCAAAGGGAGAGCTGAGGTCATTTCCAAGTTCATGTGTCCCGAAGCTTGGTGGCCCACCTGGCCTTGGACAGAGTGCAGAGGCCAGGCAGATGGGGTCAGCCCCTGGTGGACAGGGCAGTGGGTGGCCCAGTGCCAGGCACAGGAAAGAAGTCCTGTGTGGAGGAGGGAGCAGCGTGGACACCTGAGAGACAAGGTGGCCTCAGTGGCCAGGACTGTAGTCCAGGCCCGGGCTCCAGGTGACAGCGGGGCAGTAAAGGCCGTGAGAACCTGCCGAGGCTATGGTGGATCGGAGCTGGGCGCAGCAAATTCCCAGGGCGAGACACAGCTTGGTGGCCCCTGGGTTCCAGAGGCTGGCTGGGGTTGCTCAGCGACAGGTCGGGTGGCAGGGTTGCTGTGGCACCAGGCTGGTCCTCCAGGCCCACTGGGGCCTCCGCCTCCCGCTGGGCTGCACCCCGGGGTGAAGCAGTCTCTGGGTGACGAGGGGCCGCCCCCTGGCCTGCTCCAAGTCCTGCATGAGGAGGCCCTGGGAGGCAGTGCTGAGCAACTACAAGGGTGTTGACCCCAGGCCAGGCCCCGGGCCCCACGCCCCAGAAGAAGTGGGGGCGGGGAGAAGAGGGACTCTATGGAGGGCTCAGGGAACACGAATGCCCCGAGCGGGGAGTGGGGAGTGGGGTTCACGTGTGTCTCTGGAGGGAGACCCTCCCAAGGCGGGAGGCTCAGAGCCCTCTAATTATGAAATGGATGCCCCATAGTGGGGCTGCGCTGCAGTGGCACAAACCTCCCGTGACCCCCCAGGTCTAGAGTGCTGGAGGTGGGCAGCGTCTCAGCACACAGGGCTGGAGGACCCAGGCCTGGGGGGGGGGGGGGGGTGCGTGGCCGGGCCCAGCGGCCTCCCGTGGTTCTGACGGTGGCCGCTGGGACTCGGGCGCACGCTGGGCCTGCTGCTCCTGTCCTTGTCCGTGGCTGGGGAGGAGGTGGGGGGGTCCTGGGTTGATGGTACCTGGCCGCCCGCCCCCCCCCCTTGGTGAGCGGCTGCCACGGCCATATGGCTTTGGTAAATTTCCTTGAAAAAGAGTCTTTTGGAAGCGGCGTCAGCGCTCCGAGGCGAGCTCGGGGTGTAGGGCCAGGCCGAGGCCCGGGGTCCTGGGAGCCCCTGGTCCAGCGGGGCCCGAGGATGAGGGGGGGCGGGGGGGGGGGGTGCAGGGGAGGGGCCGGCACCCCGTGGCCGCAGGCGCCGCGGCGTCGCCGTCACCACTTGAGGAAGACCATGCCCGCCAGCACGGCGTAGCCCAGCACCAGGAAGAGCACCTTGAGCAGCCGGTCGTTCTTGTCCTCCAGCTCCTTGGCCAGGATCTCCAGGAAGGTGACGAAGAGGAAGGTGCCGCCCGCCAGGCCCTGCAGCAGCGCGGACGCCACGCTGCCCGGCACGCCGCGCGCGCTCTCGATGCCCAGGCCCAGCGCGATGCCCAGCGGGATGGTGGCGCTCACGGCGGCCGCCAGCTTGGCCGCGTCCCGCAGGGGCACGGCGCTGCGGGCCATGCTGATGCCCAGCGCCACGGCCACCAGCGTCTCGTGGACGGCCACGCCGACGAACAGGCCCACCACGCGCTCGCCCTCCTCCTGCAGGCCCAGCGTCAGGCCCTCGAACACCGAGTGCGCCGCCAGGGCGAACACCAGGCCCAGCAGCCGCAGCGGGCCGGGCCGCGCCAGCTCCTGCAGCCGCAGGCCGCCGTGCGCGTGCGCGTGCGCGTGCCCGCGCGGCTCCGCGAAGAGCGCCCGCCCGCCCGCGCCCGCGCCCGCGCCCTCGTACTCAGAGTCGCTGCCCGCGTCCGAGCCCGCGTTGAAGGTCTCCAGGTCGATGAAGGACGGCCGCTCCCGGCGGAAGGTCAGCACCAGCTGCTCCACGAAGACCGTCAGGAAGAAGCCCAGAAGCATGAGCGTCTCGGCCAGCGGGTAATCGGTGCTGATGTGGCCCAGACTCAGCACCTGCCGGAGCTGCAGGGGAACAGGCCGGGGACAGGCCATCAGCAGGGCCGGTGAGGCGCATCTGCACACCGGCCCAAGGCCGCAAGATGAGGGCCCAGCATGGGCCACCAGGCCTGTAATCCCAGTTACTTGGGAGGCTGGCTATCAGGAGGATCACTGTCCAAAGCCAGCCCAGAGCCAAAGGTGAGAGACCCCATCTCAACCACTAAGTCAGGTGTGATAGCTTGTGTCCATGATCGCAGTTATGCTGGAGGCATAGGGAGGAGGATGGTAGACCCAGCCTGGTCCAAGCAAAAAAGACCCTACCTGAAAAGTAAAGCAAAAGGCTTGGAGGGGGTGTGTGGCTCCACGGGTAGCACTTCTCCCTAGCAAATGCAAGGCCCTGAGTTCAAACCCAAGTACTGCCCAAAACCAAGACGGATACCAAACCAAAGATCCTATTGCTGGCACATCAAAAGGCCCCCACGAGGTAAGGCCACCTGGAACTACAGAACACGGCAGCATTTGAAAGGGCTCAGCTATAGTAATTGTCGTCCATCTCCCTCCCCCAAATCATATATTGCAGCCTCCTATCTCCTAGTATGTCAATGCGGACACAGCTGCAGCGGGGGCCTATACAGAGGGGTCTGTAAAGGACTGACGGCTTGAACAATGAAGGGCCTGCCCAGAAGACACACAGAGAGGCAGGGAGGCCAGGCCTCAGCAGCACCTGAGAGCAGGCAGTGGCCACACCTGGCACCCTGGCACCTGGCACGAGGAGCAAGAGTTCCAGGCCAGTCTGGCTGCATGGAAGACCCATCTCAAAATCACAAAATAAAAACATATAAATCCCAGCTACTCAGGAGGCTGAGATCTGAGGATCGAGGTTCAAAGCCAGCCCAGGCAGGAATGTCCAATTAATCACCAGAAAACTGGAGGTGGTGCTGTGGCTCAAGTGGTCAAGTGATAGAATGCTAGCCTTGATCTGAAGAGCTCAAGGACAGGGCCAGGCCCAGAGTTCAAGCCCCATGACCGGAAAAAAAAAAAAAAAAATGCCGAGCGTCGGTGGCTCACGCCTGTGATCATAGCTATTCAGCATGCTGAGATCTGAGGATCATGGTTCAAAGCCAGCCCAGGCAAGGAAACTCCATCAGACTCTTATCTCCAATAAATCACTAGAAAACCGGAAGTGGTGCTGTGGCTCAAGCTGTAGAGTGCTTGCCTTGAGCTGAAGAGCACAGGGAAAATGCCCAGGCCTAGAGTTCAAGCCACATGACTGACAAAAGAAAAAGAAAAAGGAAACATAAAAAAATAAAAAAGGCTGCTGGGCGCCGGTGGCTCACGCCTGTAATCGTAGCTACTCAGGAGGCTGAGATCTGAGGATCGCGGTTCAAAGCCAGCCCGGGCAGGAGAGACCGTGAGACTCTTGTCTCCAATAAACCACCAGAAAGCCGGAAGTGGCGCTGTAGCTCAAGTGGTAGAGCGCTTGCCTTGAGCTGAAGAGCTGAGGGACAGCGCTCAGGCCCAGAGTTCAAGCCCCACGACTGACAAAAAAAAATAAAGAAGGCCAGCCAGGCACCAGTGGCTCACACTTGTAATCCCAGCTACTCAGGAGGCTGAGGTCAGAGTATTGTCTGTGAGACTCTTACCTCCCAGGCCCTGAGTTCAAACCTCTGGAGCAGTGCGTGTGTGTGCAGGTGTGTGTGCATGCACATGTGCACGCATGTGCGCACACACACGCCAGCCCAGGCCCCCATCCTGGGTGGCTGGTCCTCAGGATGGCAGTGACAGCCTGCTTGCTGCCCGTGTGGGAAGGGCTCTGCTTCCAGAACTCTCCCCCTCGCCATTATTGGGGACATGTGGAAGTGACCATGTAGCTGTTGGCATGTCTCCTGACCGGCGCCAGAGCCCTCTGAGAACTTCCCAGCGCAAGTTTGGAAGACATGGGCCTCAGGTTGTCAGCCAGTCCTGGGCATGTGGGTGGCACTGACTGAGGCCAGAACCGGCATTAAATTGATAAAATATTCTAGAAACAGAATCACCAGGCATGGCCAGCTTCGGTGTCAGAGGGCCCCTGGCCCTCGGCTTTCTGCCTAGGTGGGCCCTGGCCCTGGTCTCTCTGGGGTCTGAGGACCGGGCCACTATAGTCCCCCATGTTTTGTGAGCTGTTCCCTGCATGTCCCTTCCGCACCTGAGCCTGCATTCCAGCTCACAGTCCCCCAGGGACTTGCCATATTAGAGAAACAGACAGCACCCAACACGCACCCTTCCTGACTCCCACTTATGGCTCATCATGAGTTCACACTCACTCACACACACACGCACACACACACACACACACACGCGCACGTGCGCGCACGTGCCAATCTTAGTACTTGAACTCAGTGCCTGGGCGCTGTCCCTGAGCTCTTCTGCTCAAGGCTAGTGCTCTACCACTTGAGCCTCAGATCCACTGCCAGCTTTTTGGGGGGCTAATTGGAGATAAGAGTCTCATGGGCTTTGCTACCCAGGCTGGCTTTGAACTATGGGCCTCAGATCTCAGCCTCCTGAGTAGCTGGTGTGAGCCACCAGTGCCCAGTGGCTTTCATGACAGGCAGCAATGACACCTGGGCATCCTGAGCCCTGCAGGGTGCTGCACAGCATCCTCAATCTATTCAAGGCAGAAACCCCCAGTCATACAGCATGTCCCCTCATATCTCCTGGTGTTTGTGTCCCAGAGGCAGATGAGACCCTGGCCGCAGCACAAGGCTGTAGAGAAGCCACCACCTTTGCTTCTGGGCAGCCACCAGAGGCCCCCACAGCCTCCACTGGGGACATTGAGGCCCACAAGTGTCCTCCAAGAGGAGGACAGCAGCTTGCCTGTTAGGCCAGGCAGACCCAGGTCATTTCCACATTGATGACCTCCAAGGTCAGCTAAGTCAGGGCCTTTCATTCACACAAAATCATTCCTACCAAGTCAGGCGCTGGTGGCTCACACCTGGAATCCTAGCTACTCAGGTAGCTGATCTGAGCATCATGGTTCAAAGCCAGCCTGGGCAGGAAAGTCTATGAGACTTGGATCTCCAAAAAAACCACTCAGAAAACCAGAAGTGGGGCTGTGGCTCAAGTGGTAGAGCACTTGCCTTGAGCTGAGGAGCTCAGGGGCAGTGCCCAAGCCCAGAGTTCAAGCCCCATGACCGACAACAAGAAAAAAAGGGGGCTGGGAAGGTGGCTCAGTGGTAGAGCGCTTGCTTTGCATGCCTGAGGCCCTGGGTTCGATTCCTCAGCACCACATAAGCAAAAAAGAAAAAAGCCGGAAGTGGCACTGTGGCTCAAGTGGTAGAGCGCTAGCTTTGAGCTGAAGAGCTGAGGGACAGAGCCCAGGCCCAGAGTTCAGGCCCCACGACCAGACCCCCCCAAAAAAAAGCTAGGGTGGCAGTGGGGAGGGGCTGTAACCCAGGGGCTATATGTTGGGGCTATCCAACAACCCCCTCCAATACAAACCTAAACGTAACACAGACCTTAAAGCACAGATAACTCTCCCTTCTCTTCCTTCCTCACTGAGCCTGAGGGAAAAGGGAGGGATGGAAGGATGGCAGGCCAGAGGTGGGGAGCTCCTTCAAATGCAGACTGCAAGATGAGTCCCGCCCCCATGAAGATGACACTGCTGAAGTCTGCAATCAGTCAGGAGTCAGGCTGCCCTCAGCAGGCCCCGGCCCCTGCTTTGGGAGAAGCACCTTTTCTATTAAAGTATGCTTCCTTTCTGTTCATCTTGAGAGAATGTTGTTTTCTGAAGGATTCCTGCTTTGGTCCTTTGTTAATTATATTTTAGTTACATACATCCTTTTCCTATTTTTTTTTTTTTTTCTGTCAGTCCTGGGGGCTGTCCTCAGCTTTTCAGCTCAAGGCTAGTGCTCTACCACTTGAGCCACAGCATTACTTCTGGCTTTTTCAGCTTATGTGGTGCTGAGGAATCAAACTCAGGGCCTCAAGCACTCTACCACTGAGCCACCTTCCCAGCCCAAAGCTCCTGAATTTTAACTACATCTTGTTAATTCTTTTGCAGTTTGAGCCTGAGCCCAGCCAATGGGAGCAGAGGGGCGGAGCCTGTGGATGAGAGATAAGAAGGGAGCAGCCGGGCTGCTTCCAGTGCTTGCTTGCCTGATTGTTGGCAGATGCACACCCTTCTGCAGCAGGAGACTGTGCCTTGCTGGTTCACACTGGTGTCCTTATTCCTATGCGAGGCCCCAACATCCTGAGCTATTTTGAACACTGCCTCAAGGCTGCAATTCCTTCTACATAAGTGTTCTCACATAGCTCTGATGACAGGTATTTGACACCACACTAGCTTGTTTTGTTGAGATGGGGTCTCACTAACTTCCCTAGGCCAGCCTGGATCCCAGTCACTGCAACCTATGTCTCTTGAGTAGCCAGGATCACACACACACACCACCACCATCAGGTGCCTGCTTTCAAGACAGTCTAGTATCTGAAAGGGGACAGACTGGTCTAGACAATCACCATCCACTGGACTCCTCAGTGGTCCTGACCCAGGTCTGATGCACAGCCTGATTACCCAGCGAGGCACAGAGAGGGGCAGCAGCCAAGGTGCAGTCACACAGCAAGGCACGCTGTCCTTTCTATCACTCTGAGCATGTTAACAGGGTCAAAGACCAGAACCCCTGGTCCCCCAAGGTGCCAAGGGCCTTACCTTTTCCCGCACAGCGGGCAGCAGGGCGTTGAAGCACGTGGCAAGGAAGACACCACCGCCAAACGTGTTACAGAGGGACAGAACCTTTTTGGAGCGCTGGGCCTTCTCAAAGTCCATCTGGATGACTTTCACGGGGACCAGGGCGCCCAGCAGCATGAAGAAAAACACGCCCACCATGCAAAGGATTTTGGCTACTAATAGCTTCACCATGGTGGTGGCCTAGGATGTGCCGGTCACTGAGATGCCAAACCATGTGTAGACAGACGCAGATGTAGGTGCCACGAGGTGCTACCGCTTCCAGCCACAAGGCCGGGAGCTCATGCTTGCAAGCCGCAACTGTGAAGACCAGGATGAGTGTTAGCTGTCAGCTTTAGGGGTGGGGCTGTCCCATCACAGTGGGGACATTCATACACCTGTAATCCAAGCCACTCAGGAAGTGGAGATAGGAGGATCACTGTTTGAAGACAGCCCTGGCAAGAAAGTCCATGAGACTCTTATCTCCAATGAATCACCAAAAAAGATGCAAAGTGGAGTTGTGGGTCAAGTCACCACTCGTCTTGTGTGAAAAAAATGCTAAGAGACAGTGCCCAGGCCCTGAGTTCAAGTTCCAGTACCAGTGGATACACACAAAGCCATTGGCCATACCTATCTGTTTAAACTGTGATCCAAATTAAATGAAATTTGAAATTCTGCTTCCTGGCCATCTTTCAAAGGGTCAGTAGCAATGTAAGCCTGGTCGCAGACATATTAGGCCCGCCCAGGCACAGAGCAGGGCCCCTCCCTCCATTGTTGCAAATGGCTTCTCACGGCCCTGAAATAGAATCCCAACTCTTTCTTTTTGTGTGCTGGACTGGCTTTGAACCTTGATCCTCAGATCTCAGCCTTCTGAGTAGCTAGGATTACAAGTGTGAACCATAAGAGTCCAGCTGTGAATCCCAACTCTTCATTGAATGGCTCAGGCTTGGCATAGCTGAATTCTGCCTGACCCCAGCCTACACTCAACTTTCTCATACCACAAAAGTGCCAAACCTATTCCTACCCCAGGCCCTATGCACAGGTGGTTCTGTCCACAACACTCTTCTCCTCTGACTCCCCAAGGACGTGTCCTTCACCTTTACTTCACCGCCCCCAGCTCCTTCCCTGGCCAACTTCCATTCTAAACCATCTCCTTCTTGTCCACCAATACCAAGACCTGGCACAGAACAAATGGGCCAGCTATGCCTGTGAACCTCGTCATACAAGACTCAGTGGCCCCAAACGGAAACATTACCCTGGATCCCAAAATCATCACTGCTAATAGCAAGAACCTCAGTTCCTTCCTTATCTACGGTTCCCTACCAACCAAGCCCTCCCTCCTCTCCTTCGAACAACCACTTCCTCGCTTCAATTCAGGCCTTAGGGTTTCTGCTCAGACCTCCTGGGTGTGTGTGTGGGGGGGGGGGGGGACCTGGCCGCTTCCAGCCCCTGTCCTAGCGGTATTTTCCTTCTGTTTTGTGTTCGGGCTGGAGGAGCAGGGGGATTTACTGATCTAAAGCCGTCTGCAGCCGCCCCTCCCTCCAGGCTATGGAGTCAGAACCATCGAGGCACACAGTAGGCGCCCAATAAATACCAACGGGGTGTCTGGACGCCCCAGCCCGTACGACGGTGTTGAGGGCGGGCTGGGGGCTGGTGGGCCCGGGCCGCGGAGGAGGCGGGCCCGCTCATTCACTCATTCATTCATTCACTCGGCACTTAATTGAGCGCCTTCTGGATACCGCACGCTGCCGGACGCTGGCGCCGGGCCTCGGCTCACCGGCCAGCAGAGTCCGCCAGGCCCCTCCTCCAGGCTGCGCCCCGCCGCCCCGTCCTCACCCCCAACCGCACACGAACCTGAGCCAGGCCCCCGGCCCGCAGCAGCTGCCGCCCGCCGCCAACCGCCCGCGCGGTGCCGACCCCGCCGCCGCCGCCGCCGCCGCCGCCGCCGCCGCCGCCGCCGCCGCCGCCGCCGCCGCCGCCGCCGCCGCCGCCGCCGCCGCCGCCGCCGCGGACCCGGCGAGACCCCGGCTCAGCGCGCCGCGGCCCGCGCCCCGCCCCCCGCCGCGCCCATTGGCTGCTCCGAGCACCGCTGGCCGATACCCAAGTCTCATTGGCTTTTCTGGCTGACATTCATCCTGCGACCCCACCTCCCCACCAGCGGGAGAAAGTAGTTTCCTCCCGCGGAGCGGTGGACTCACCCACCAAGTGTCTCCGACGGGAAACATGGACCACCGAGCAATGGTTCCGGAAGGGTTTGGCTTTTTGAGCTGTCCAGGGGCGTCTGGTGCTGAATCCCGGCGGATCCGAGGGTTGGCGGGAGGGAATGGATTTCCTGAAAGAAACTGCGATTCGCGCACACCTGTAAGCCCAGCTATTCAGGAGGCGGAGATCTGGGGATCGAAGTTCGAAGCCATCTCGGACAGGAAAGTCCGTTAGACTCTTATTTTCATTAAGCAGCAAAAATCTGGAAGTGGATCCGTGCCTCAAGCCCAGAGACACCACCCAGGCCCCAAGTTCAAGCCCCAGGGAATGGTCATCCAAACCCTACAGTAACTAAACGCAGGGGGTGATCTTGGATTAAATCCTGGCTAAAAAGTATGTTTTACAGTACATGTTTAGAGAAACTAAACTAATCTGAATATGGACTATACATTTAACAAGACTATGTATCTACATTTAATATTATCTCATTTTCCAGATTTACAAATTGTAATGAGTTTATGTAATAAAATGCCCTTGATGTTAGAAGGTGCACAGTGCAGGACACCTGGAAGACACATTTTCTTTTTTTTTTTTTTGTCGGTCGTGGGGCCTGAACTCTGGGCCTGAGCGCTGTCCCTCAGCTCTTCAGCTCAAGGCAAGTGCTCTACCACTTGAGCTACAGCGCCACTTCCGGTTTTCTGGTGGTTTATTGGAGATAAGAGTCTCATGGTCTCTTCTGCCCGGGCTGGCTTTGAACCTCGATCCTCAGATCTCAGCCTCCTGAGTAGCTAGGATTACAGGCGTGAATCACCAGCGCCCGGCTTGGAAGACACATTTTCATTGCACAGAGAAATAGAATACCGTGGTGTACACACACACACACACACACACACACACACACACACAGAGAAAAAGCAAAGTCAGCAAAATGTTAATTGGTGAATGTAGGTTGGGACTGTAAGGGAATTTATTGTGCTATTCTCACGGGTTTTCAAAACTTTTTTTTTTTCTTTTTCTTTTTGCTGGATGTGGTGCCTGAACTGTGGGCCTGGGCGCTGTGCCTCAGCTCTTCTGCTCAAGGCTAGCACTCTACCACTTGAGCCACAGCGCCACTTCCGGCTTTTTTTCTTTTTGCTTATGTGGTGCTGAGGAATTGAACCCAGGGCCTCATGCATGCAAGCGCTGTACCACTGAGCCACCTTCCCAGCCCCAAACATTTATATTTTAAACACTGAAAAAGTACTATTTTACAACCAAGTCAAGAATTTTGAGGGCTGGGAAGGTGGCTCAGTGGCAGAGTGCTTGCCTTGCATGCATGAGGCCCTGGGTTCGATTCCTCAGCACCACATAAGCAGAAAAAGCTGGAAGTGGTGCTGTGGCTCAAGTGGTAGAGCGCTAGCCTTGAGCTGAAGAGCTGAGGGACAGCGCCCAGGCCCAGAGTTCAGGCCCACGAATGGACCCAAAAATAATAATAAATAAAATAAAAACGTTTAATTTTAAATAAGCTTAAAAAATCTTGTGCATTGTGGCTAACACCTGTAATCCCAGCTTCTCAAGAGACAGATATAGAGGATTTCTAGTCAAAGCCAGCCTATGGAAAAGCATCTGGGAGATGGCATCTCTAATTGAGCAGCAAAATGCCAGATTGGAGGCATGGTTCAAGTGGTAGAGGGCAGTGGTAAGCAAGAAAGATGAACAGACTTAAGGCCCTGAGTTCAAACCCTGTACCACAAAATAAAGAGAAGAGGAGGAGGAGGAGGTGGAGGAGGAGGAGGAGGAGAAGGAGAAGGAGGAGGAGGAGGAGGAGGAGGAGGAGGAGGAGGAGGAGGAGGAGGAGGAGGAGGAGGAGGAGGAAGAGGAGGAGGAGGAGGAGGAAGAGGAGGAAGACATGAAGGGTGAAGAAGTTGCCCTGGGGCCAGTGCCTGCCCCACTATAATCCTAGCTATTTGGGAAACTGAGGTTGGGATGCTCATAATTTGAGTCCAGCCTGGGCAGAAACATTCACAAAATTCCATTTCAACCCATAGCTGGGCACAGCTGTCATCCCAGCTATGGAAGTCCTCCCAGGAGGACCGCTGTTCTAGGACAGCCTGAGAAGAAAAGTCGCCAAGACCCCATCTCAATGAAAGAAGACAGGTGTGGTGGCACATGCCTGTCATCTCAACTATAATGGCAAACCTAAAATAGGCAGATAGAGGTCCAGACTTGGACGGGAAATGAGACCCTATCTCAAAAATAACCAATGCTGCCAGGCACCAGTAGCTCATACCTGTAATCCTAGCTACTCAGGAGGCTGAGATCTGAGGATCACAGTTCAAAGCCAGCCTGGACAGGAAACTCCGTGAGATTCTCATCTCCAATAAACCACTAGAAATCCAGAAGTGGTGCTGTGGCTCAAGTGGTAGAGTACTTGCCTTGAGCTGAAGAGCACACAGACAGCGCCCAAGCCCAGAGTTCAAGCTCCACAACTGACAAATAATAATAATAACCAATGCAAACAAGGGCTGGATGTGTGACTCATGGTTAGAGCATTTATCTAACAAGTATATAGGCCCCAAGTTCAAACCTTTGTACTGGAAAAAGAAAAGAAAAAGAACTAGGTTGGTGGCAGGTCTTAGGTCACTGGGGGCTGATGTCAAAGGGGATTGTGGGACCCTGGCCCCTTTCTCTCCCTTTCTCTTCAGGCCATGGGATGAATAGCATTGCCCCACCCCACCCCACCCCTTTGCCACAGGAAGTAGCAACAGGACCAAGTGCCCATAGGTGGAAGCCTCCAGACTGAGCTAGACCTGGCCTAGAGTTTGAACTTGGGCCTGGGCACTGTTCCAGAGCTTCTTTTTGCTGAAGGGTAACACTCTACCACTTGCACCACAGAGCCACTTCTGGCTTTTTTTCTGAGTAGTTTATTAGCATTAAGAGTCACAGACTTGTCTGCCTGGGTTGGCTTCAAATTGCAATGCTCAGATCTCAGTCTCCTGAGTAGCTAGGATTACAGGCGTGAGCCACCAGCGCCTAGCTTCCTTTTGCTTTTATAAGCAGCATATCTCAGGTGCTTATAACAGTCACAGAAAGCTGATGAATGTAGTGTGTGTGTGTGTGTGTGTGTGTGTGTGTGTGTGTGTGTTTGAGAGGGCTGGTGGGGTTCTGGTTGTGAAAATCTGCTCACATAATTCCCATACTGCCCTCTATGTCAACATGTCCATATGTTGAAGGGGGGCAGGGGAAGAGGACAGGGAGCAGAAGGGAAAAGGAAAAGGAATGGAGGAGGGGGAGAGGAAGAACTTGCAGAGCACTTAAACATCCATGATCTGAAACACACGTTTCTGGTGGGGTTTGTGGGTCCGTCTGCACCCTGGAAGCTCCCCCTCTCTCCCTGCCCCACCCTGCCGCCATCGAGCAGCTTAGAGGTCCCTGTGCTGAGTACATCCTGGTGTACATCCCCATTGGAGCCAAGGCAGCCCGAAGGACCCTGGCTAGAATGGCATTTTCTCTTAGTTCTGGAAGGAGAGGCTTCTCTACAAGCACCAGGCCAGGTTTCAGTTGGGTTGGGTTCAGTATTAGGCCAGGCTCTGTCATTCAGTGCTGCAGACATTACTGAGGTGGTGTGCGCCCCCTGCTGGCCAGGCACGAGACTACCCAGCCCCTCATCCCAGAGGACAATGGGAGGACTCGCTATCATCGATTTTGCAAGCTGAGGGGTGTGATGGAGAGGCCCACTTGACGTTGGGGTTTCAACTGATTTCCCCCCCAATACGGAGACTGGGTGCTGTCCCTTAGCTTTTATTGTTGTTGTTCAAGGCTGGCACTCTACCACTTGAGACAGCTCCATTTCTGGCCTTTTGCTGGTTCATTGGAGATAGATCTCATGGATTTCCCTGCCCTGGCTGTCCTTGAACCTTCATCCTCAGACCTCAACTTCCTGAGTAGCGAGGTGTGAGCTACCGGCACTAGGCATCAACTGATCTGTTTGGGGGTGACATTTTCCTGCAGAGAGAAACATTGTAGAGCCTCATGAGCTAATTACATTTGCTGGTGGCCAAATGTTTCAGGACATTTTGTGTGTTCTGTTTGTCCAGGGCCTCCTGTTCACAGGCAGGGGTGCAGGGCGTGGTCTCTGCCCGCTGGGCCCTGGGTATACAAGGTGGGTCCTTTTTTGGGTGTGCCCCAATTCTAGGCCAGAAGCTCCCCAGGCTGTAACAGCCATGTGTTCCAGATGTGGCCCAGCATCTGCTGAGATTTGCATCAGCAATCAGCAATTTTGCTCCAAGGTCATGAACAAGCCACAGCATTGTCAGACCCCACCCCAGGGCCCATCCTGAGTTACATGAGCACAGGTTTAATTGACGGGGGGGGGGGGGGGGGCAGGGGGCGGTCTGTTCAGTACATTGATGGCAGAAATATTCTGATGTAACCCCATTGGCAACATGTGGGCTCACGTAGCAGTGATCTGGCTTGCTGTGGCCAAGTTACACGAAGGAGGCCTGGATGCTGGTGGGGAAGAACAGTGTCTCCTTCCAGTGTTCTCCCTGCTGTGTCCCCTGAGTGTTGAGTCTGGGGTGAGTGGGGAAGAGGTGCCTGGGAGGGGGAAACAAGATGGGAGGTGGACAGAGGACACCAGGAAGCCCTGAAACATGCAAGCTGATGGAGAGTAATGGAAATATGTTTGTGTTTGTCGGTCGTGGGGCTT